CTACGTCCATCTTCCGTCATGTCAAATAAGGGAAGATGGATATGTTTTACCACCGGTTCTCCCTTTCGAAATCCGACATGCCTTCTCGTCGGTGAAAAATCGAACAGCACCAGGTCCGGAGAGGGTAAGATCAGAACACTTGAAGAACCTTCCGCCTGTCCTCGCAAAGACACTGGCTCTGCTCTTCTCACGTAACCTCTCTGAATGCAAGGTTCCTACTCAGTGGAAGACCGGCCAGACCGTTATTGTTCGAGAGGGGTGACCTACACGATATCGGCAACTATTGCCCAATCTGCTTACTGTCTGTCGTCTACAAACTTTTCACTCGAGTCATCCTAAACAGGATAGACAGAACACTGGACGAAGGACAGCTATGTGAGCAAGCAGGGTTTCGAAAAGGATTCAGTACGATGGACCACATCCACATGGTAACAAGCCTCACTGAAGTATCGCAAGAGTACAAAAGACCGCTCTGTCTCACTTTCATCGATTTACAGAAGGCCTCTGATTCAGTTGAGATGGAAGTAGTCAGGGAAGCCCTTGGTAGTCAAGGAGTCCCTACTCAGTACATAAAGATTCTTCGTGAGCTGCACAAAAGCTTCACAACCAAGATATCACCATTCTACAACGGTGTTAGCATTGACGTCAAAAGAGGAGTTAACCAAGGCGATACTGTCTGTCCAAAATTATTCACCGCCCCCTTCCGGAACGTCATGCAAACATTGGAATGGGATAATATGGGAGTGAAGATCGGTGTTCGGCAGTTACACAATCTTCGCTTTGCAGACAACATCTTCCTTGTAACACCAAACATTAGCCAAACGGAAGGTATGATTGCTGCCTTTCATAAAGCCGATGGAAAAAGTGGTGTTCGACTAAATCTCACAAAAATGATGTTCATGAGGAACGGATTGGTTTCGTATGCCCCATACACGCTCAACGGAACGAATATCTCCGAATGCTCCAGTTATATCTATCTAGGTCGGGAAATCAACATGTTGAACGACTTTACTCCAGAGTTGAGCAGAAGGAAACGAGCGGCTTGGAAGCTTTCAAGAGCATCGAGGATGTAGTGAAAAGAACAAAGAACACTCGATTCCGTGGCCACCTTTTCGACTCAACGGTACTTCCTGCGTTAACATATGCGTTAGTGCCGTTTTTTATATTATATTTATATTTTTTTATAAGAGCCGTTAGTGACTTTCGTAGATTCCTCGGGATGTTAAACGTACTGCAGGAAGACCACCGACCCGATAGTCAGAGTTTTTCACGAAGAGCCTACAAGAAAGATATGATGCTCGACGAGTCCCTAGAGCGAGCAGATCCCACTAGGCTAGCTTGTGTGTGACAAGGAAAAATGGAAGGTTTACTGGAGCTCGCTCGAGTCACTCGACGATCAACGGGACTACAGGTGATTCGATTGATAAAGAATCAACAACTTCTTGAAAACCCACTGTTTTAACATGCCTTCTAGTGAGGAAGAACCGCTGATTGGAGTCACACATGGTTGATGACTGCACCACCTCGTATCAGCAATCAATGAGAAGGTACGAGGCGAGATCACGTGTGATCTCTCTGCACTCCTCTCTGCTATTCTAGGATTCCTGACATTTACTGCTTCCAGGCTCTTAAGAAGACAATACTGCCGAAGCGTTAGCTACCGTTGTGTTTTATGTGTTCTTTTTGGAAGGAAGTAAGCGTCTGCTGAATAACAACTTTACGATTGTTGAGAAAGAAAGCGAGATATTTATAAAACAATGCCGAGATTAATAGAAAGTCGATCTTGGGAACTGTGAGAAGATGCACCAGCAGAATACTTTTGACTTGTGAAAGAAGCGCTGTCACTAGGCCAAGAAATTGTTTTAGCTAGACAACAACCCACTTTCTCCGCCTCTGCATTCAACACTGAGTTGTGCCGAGGTTCATAAAACGAAAACATCTTCGCAAAATATGTGGCCAACCAGTGGATAGCCAACAAGTACGAGGCATCGAAATGGAAATGAAAAAAATTACTCCGCGCCGCACTATGAAGCAAACAGAGCGAAATGTTCGCAGGAAAGATGAAATATGTGACGAAGGAACATTTTTATGCTTTGTATTTGGAGGATGATCTTTGGAGGAGAATAGTTGGCGGATCAATATTGATACGCAGTTCTACTAGGTTTAATGCTAAAATAGCCTTCAATACCTGAGAGTGCGCGCTTGGTATTAGAATTGGGCCCAAGTTTTACACCATCACAGCTCCATTTCTAAAACAACCTTGCGTAGGATAGCAAGCATGCAACTTCTATGAGCTTCAAGATCGACTCCGCTATCAGGCCAAGCAAGAAACATCAAATAGAGATAAAAATCAAGAGGCGGCGACACTACCACCATCTCCTTTCCCATAAAAACGCTTTTTAGACAGCAGGACCCTAACGACGGAATTGACATAAAATTCCGCATATTTTCGGACAGCGTTCTCAGGACCCTTAATCACTACCGCGCCAGAAGGTTTATCTCTAACCTTACAGCAGCACAAAACTGTGGCATGCGAAAAATTAGAGAATTCATTAGAGGATCAGAACTAGAAAACAATAAGATTGTCCGTTATTGATAAGAGGGAGAGTTCGCAGTTATTCCTCGCTAGTTAGATGTTGAGATAACGGAGGAACATCTTAGTGATGCTACTCTCTATCAACCATCCTTTGAAAAGGAATACAAACGTCAATGCCGAAAGCTAATCAATGAGTCAATATGGAGAAGGCAATCATCCATTATTTTGCACCATAAGATAAGCAGACCAACATGTCATCTTATACTTATTAAAACATATATGTTAGTATCACCAGATAACCTCCCCTCAACCAATTCATCATCATTCGAGGCTAAACCCATCGTCAACTGTGCAGACAAACCAAAATAGTTTCTAAGCCTAATACTTACCCAGTTACTCAAACATATTCCAGCTCACCTTGCGAACACCCAAATGTTAGTAGAACGTCTACGTAACGCGTCTCCTAACAGCGCGATCCTAGGACGTTACCGCGCTGTACACCAACGTGTCGAATGACTCCGCAATGCAAACCATCTTCGAACTCCTTGTTGAACATGAAAGAAGAATAAATATGCATGGCTTGCCCATCCAGCAGCTAATGGCTCTCTTAAACGAGTGCCTAAACTGCTCGATTTTCACATAGTCTGGGAAACAGTACGCGCAAAGAAAGGGATTGGCAATGAGACAGATACTGGCACCAAGTCTCGCCATTGCATTTACGTGCGTAAAAGAAGCCCTGTAGATGTATAAATGACTATTTTGTCATTTTCCCTTCGCATGAGAGGCTGTACAAATGCTTTGGTTTACTGAATGAGATTAAAGTCACCCGTCAGAAACCGAAAGAACGTTGGCTTCCATTTCTTAGCGTTCAAATTAAGTTATCAGATAGCGGTTATATGATAAAGTGGTACCGAAAAAAAAACTAAGTAACAACAACATCGTTCATTTCCACTTTTCCCTCCCCTCGCCCACAAAGAGGGCTCTTGCGAGAAACATGTTTCGAACAGCCACCTCTGTGTGCACAATCAATGAACTAAAGGAAGAATCGCGCGACTTGGTTCGGCAAATAGCCATCTCCAATGGCTACGAAATAGTAACCCCACGAGACAAGTCTAGGAGATCGACGCGCCCACGCGAAATACTTGGCCAAAAGAAGGTTCCGTTTATGCTGCCTTTCATTAGCAATGAAGTAAGCGTAACTATTAAACGATACTTAAGAAGGGCAGGTCTAGCGGAATCGGTAGCGGTTGTTGAAATCCCACCAGATACTCTTTGTAGTCAGTTAGTTCGTAATCGCCTATATGACTGTCTATGAATGTGCTCTTTTGGAAGGAACGGTGACTGAATGAATTCAAGCACGATGTACCTGATATCTTGTAAGACTTGCAGATATTGGCGAAATGGGCAGAAATGTATCCGTATAAAAGAGCACCTAGATGGCAAACGAAAAACAAGAAAAGGTATCCCACAAGGGACGCATAGAATACAGAAGCATAACGGAGACGATTTTGATATAAAAGTCGCTATACCGACACGGGATTCCAAAACACCAGCGCAAACTTCTTGAGGTGTTTTCGATAAACGCCAACAACCCTAGGATGAATAGCATGGGATAGGGCCCAGAGATCACATGTGACCTCGCCCGTAGCTTCGCATCGGTTGCTGATATTAGGTGGTGCAGTCGTCAACGATTTACGACTCTGATCAGCGGCGCTTTCTCACTGAAAGGGGCGTAAAAACGGTGGATTCTTTCGAGAAGCTCGTGATCATGCGATTGCTATTTCGATTTTCATTTCTTTATATGTGTTATTGAGGCGTTTATTGTAGTAAATTGCCTCTCAATATACCCTTCCAGGTTGTGAAGAAGGCGATTCTACCAAAACGTCAGCTACGATTGCGTTGTATGTTTGTTGCTGTATGGAAGTAAACGTATGCTGTTTAACAACCTCGCGATTGCTAAGAAAGAAAAACCACGACTCCATAGTCCAATGCTGGAAAGTCGATCCTGGGTACTATATAGCACTAATTGCAAAAAATGCTACACCCAATAGAGAATGACTAGGAACCAGACAACAGTAGGATTTATTCTACCGGTCCTTTTAGTGCATCTATACTCTCTGACAAACACTATTCCTCTTAAATGGCTTGAGCTTATCCAGTGAATAGGGGTATATCATCATTCGATTAGCGAATAATTTTAAAACAATAAGCATAGGTCATCTGAAGTGGTTTCGACATGGAATGAACTACTTGCGTATTTCTCGAAAGTTGAACAACAATAGCAATTGCAACAACATCTTGACATTCACTTGTCATATCTATTCGGCGATGTCAACCAAAAGTAGTCAGTTGCTGAGCATGGCAATCACGAATTTCAGTGACGTGCATGGTAGTAATGGGAAAGGTGCGACGTTGTGAACAAGGAATCTTGATTATTCTGGAGATCGAGCGATTATATCGCAGTTCAGAGATGCGTTTCCTTAGCGTCACTGCTTAAGACGATTCGTAACGTTTCTCTGATACGTCGCTGCATGATCGACTGTTGTTGTAGTGAGGTGTCGCTAAAACAAAGATTTTATTTTTTAAATGTGTTGAAAAAAAAACACCTTTACTTCTGTCTAAGGTTGTTAAAGATTTTTCTCGGAGTTCCTTTCATACTTACTCTCTGAGAAGTGTCTTTTTTTAAAAAAAATACACCAAAAAACAAGTGTCATTTTCTTACTGGAAGAAAATAGATATCACAACCGATGGTACCTGACCTAGAAGTTATTGAAGGAAAAACGTCATCGAGAATCAGAAGGCAATCGTCCGGATTACTGATATCGGATATGGAATGTACGTGTTCTTGTGCTCTCGGCACACGAAACGTACCTTCCTCTGCATTAGTGATGTCTGCAAAAATGCTATACAAAAAAAGAGCGAACAAAAAGAAAGAGGGAGAAAAGAAAAAAAGGAGAGCCTAGTAGGCAATTGCTTATACCTTTCCTGGCTATGCTTGAAAAGTTTTGTCCACTGTTTATTAACAGTGCTAATGTTCTATTTGGGAACTTTCCGGTGGATATTACCATAAGGAAATTGATGACAAAATCACTGCTAATGGAAGAAATTAAGTAACCAAAAAATCTTTCATTTCAAAGATTAGCACTGGTTCCGACAATTACGATTTCTGCTCACACGAATTCCTCAAGCTGCACAGGGTAATTCATGAGCGATAACTGTGTCTGTGTCTGCTATCCAACAACCAACTTAAATACTTACAACAAATATACAGTATGTGTTTAAATGAAGCTGTTTCTTATGCGAACACAAATCGATTTATCAAGTTTTATCTGCTGGGATTATGAAAGTGTTTGGCTGAGTAGATCGCATCTCAATTTGACCTTTCCAGGCTCTGAAGAAGGCGAAACCGCCGAAACGTCAGCTATTGTATCCTAATAAATCCCATAATAACAACCTCGTGTCTGCTCATCGAAAAAAAACATCGGATTATCAGTCAATGCCGAGGTTAACAGAAGGTCGGTTATGGGTATCATAATTGTCCTAGTCAAATGCTGTTGTCCCACGGAATGTGAAGCGCTTCGCAGACAAACAAGTTCATAACTGAACTTCATCACGAATATCACCCAAAATGAATAGAATTCACAGAACAACTCTGGTATGAGACGGAAATGATTGGAGGCTTTGCTAGCAATCACTCAAACTGTTCCTTGATTTATCGAAAAACATACTAGAAATGGACTCAATTTTGAAAAACAAAAGTGGAGAAGTATACCATGTACGGTGCAAAATACAGCGTGGCCTATTGCTCAGTGCATTTGCGCAGAGACCAAAAACCCTCAGTAATTTATCATTGAATAACATGTTGACAGATAATCCGAAAAATCTCTTGTTTAACATTCATTAAGTTATAAATCGTTTCGGATTACGGTTTCCGGGTTTTCACGTCTTACCCGCTGCACCACCGAGGCCCTTGCTTTGCCTACGGTGCAAATCGTAATCACCTCTCAACGGATGTGATCTGGAGAGCAGAGATCGGTTGTGTTTCACATAATACCCTGCCATGAAACGAGACGGCGAATAAGAAGTAAAACATTGTGATTTTGACAAAAGCTTCAACTTAATTGAACTCAATGCTGATTCGTGATCAACAAATCATCCTCGTTGACGGGTAATTGTTGACAGCACCACTGAGGTAAAAAACTCGCTGAAAAAAGGCGAAGCAAAGAACTCGGTGATGCAGTGGTTAACACGTGAACAGCTGGAAAAGGCAATCACGGGTTCGAATCTCTATTGGGATCCGAGTTTTGCGAGTATCTCAGCGTCACTGCACGTGTATTTCACATAATGCCTCATGAAACGAATAATAGGCAGTAAATAAAAAGTCAAACATTTCGGATAACGAACAATATCTATTTAAGCTTACCTCATTTGCCTCTGTTTTATTCATTTTCGAATTCTTAACACTTGTAAAGTGATTGGCTTTCCAACAAGAAAATCAACGGCGACGAATTTTTTTCATATATAGTTTTAGATGCTCACAGTCGAGGAACCGCCAGTCCTTGCTAGGCTCGTATGGTAAGCATGGATGGTCGTCGAGCAATTTTTGAATAAGCACACGAGCGACGTCCAGGTCGCATTCAGACTCCAAATTAATCACTCCAATTTCAAAACCTGAAAGCGTGTTTTCAGCACAGAAAATGAAGAAAGAGGTAGACAGAACCTAAAAAGTCTGCATTGGTCTTCGTTCTTCTCAATTTTGCGCAAGAAACAAAGCAGAGCAAATAAAGTGCACCCTAAGTAGCATGGAATTCTCTGCGACCCTAAAGTTCGTTTTAAATAATTTAAAAATCAACACCGTAAGGAGTGAGAAAACAATAATGGCGAAAAACAACAAGTCGATGAAGATTAGAATAGCCAGTTCGGTTTCACTGTATCTCAAAAGGTTCTACCTTTGTTACCTCCTATAGCTCTACCTACCTCAATTCCTCAACCTCTACCTCAATTCTACCTCAATTCTTATATACGTTTTAAGAAAAACGAACCTGTATTTTTTAATCTTTCAAATGAATCCTTGTAGGCATCATAGTCTAGACGAGCAACAACATTTACTGACATCTGCACTATCACCGACGTCGACTGAGCCTCAACAAGACTATTAATTGCTTAAAATCTCCTTAAAATAAAAAATACTTGTCAACCGAGAACGAATTATGGATGATTTTCCTCTTAAAGAAAAGGTTTCGAATCGAAACACTACGTTGTTCAATACTCACCTGGGAGTCCTTCCTATCGTGTCTTGTGTTTCTACGAGCCAGATTAGCAATAAAGGCGAGTTTCTTTTCCCTTCGAAGCATTGGGACCTAAAAGAAACAGGTTATGATGCTATAGAATTATGAGCAATAATACAACTAGCTGACTTAGCACCTAGTAATTATTCGGCAAGCATTGACAAGTTTAATTACAAAACATATATTACTGGAGAAGAAAAGGTTCTTGGGTGCTGAACTGCAATGCACGATGGAGGTCATCGCATGATGATCCCAGGAGATAATATGCTTGACATTTCGATCCAGAAAGCTAGCTAATAATAAATGAATGGTAGGGCCTGTTAGCATTCCGTAGACGGCATACTCAGTAGGTGGCAAGCTGGTAACGACGTCAAAATTCCTGCTATAACATTATAGGAGGTAAAAAGGGAAAGACAATCTTCCTTTTCAGAAATTACTAATTAAATGGAAGCTGTATTGGAGTTCTCATGATTCATTACGGTTCTTAAAAGCAGGTCATTTAAATGTACAGTTTTGTATGTTACACCTATAGAAGTATCTCAGCGCAACACTTTTAACCCACTCTCAAAAAACTTTCAAAATAAAATGGTAAAAAAATTTAAAGGATAAAGGATAAAGCTTTCGGCATTGATCAGTCCTGAGTAATGCGCCATGAATTCAACTTCATTAAGTACTGTTGGAGGTGACTGAACGCATATCTGGCCTTTACAATAACTCGTGGTGGCCTACAGATGTGTCGAGTCAGTGCTGCTATCCTCCCAGACAAGTCCGGTACCAATTTGCCAACCCCAGAGAGATGGAAGGTTTGATGGGCCATAGGTGCGGAGATCGATCCCGTGTGTGTGTCGGAGGGCGCCTCCGACCATTGCGCCATACGCACGCTAATATAAATTGCTAAGAGAATGAGGATTAGTAACAAGAACATTCAAGCTGATGTGGCCAATATGGATCATGGAATTAGAGGGCAATAAAATTGGTACCAGACTCGTCTCTCTCCAGACAAGTCTGGTACCAATTTGCCGACTCCGGAGGGATGGAAGGCTTGGTGGGCCATGGGCGCCGTGATCGATTCCATGTGCGTGTCGCAGCGGTGCCTCCAACCACTGCGCCACACGCCTAAAATATATTTACTAGGAAAAACCTCCTAGACGGAATTTTATTAAGCAGCTGCAGATAATGGAGGAATAAGTGAAATACCAAATATCATTCTTTTTCTTGAAAGAACACATATTATTGCATATTGATTAGTTATTCCGTTGTTAAAGGAAAATCGGTTTTCCAAATATTGTCATGCTCTGTGCTAGCTGATAAAGATACCGGCCGCTGCAGGATGGATTGTCCGATGATAAACAAACGATTACCAACGGACATTCACAATCAACAACAAAAGAGCGTTGCCGAATGAACTTCCTTCAGTGGAGCGGTGCTCCACTGGAACCGACTCTCTGAGATCATCAAGTGCCAGATCAGAAGAGCGAAGAACTGTTGACAATCGACTCGCATCAATACGGCTCTCAGGGAGGGGAAGTCGCCGAAACTTTTGCCAAGTGAAGTGATTTTATTAACACCGTGCTAGCTTATCAATAATAGAACACAAGCAAACATATTTGCTCTAACTTGCTGGAAAAAAGTTTTTTATCATACGTAATTGGATTACTGAGCTAACACGAAATCATAAAAAGGTTTATTCGGTTGACTTCTTAACGTCGTCGTCTTCCTCAGAGCAGATGACTCAACTCTCGCGTCCACAGTCGTTTGCTCTCTCAATATGGTTTCTCCGTTGTTTTACCGAGTAGACCTTCTTTAGCTGAGCACCGCTTGAATGAAGCAACTTCATCCGGCGGCGCTCCATTATACGGGACCTGTGTTGGTGAAAGTAATTGCCGGTCGCTATAGTTTTAAGAGAGATACGTCTTCATATAATTCAACTTTTATGTACACAATAAAAATCGACTGTACGAGAATTCAATATAAGCCGTATCTGCTTCGTATTTTACTTACTGGACGGAATTTTTACTCTGGAATCCAACCACAGTCGTGTAAAAAACTACCCCGTTCGTTGTCACTGTGTCTGCCAGCTATTTAGACTAGATTACCACTTTTCCACCACGGTTCTACCAGGTATGTTGGCAATTCATGGATTCTACTTACGGTTTAGCTTAGTTTCCGGATTAAAATACATGTTGTGCTTGTTTTCCGATATTTCCAACTATTTGCTATATGATAACACAAAGCGTAGTCTTAACTCTTTTATTTACTGCCTTTTTCTTCTTAATGGCAGGGTATGTTGTGAAATGTAACTCGTATGAAGTGCTGAGATATTTGCAAAACTCCGGACCACAGGTGTATGCAGTGGAGAACGAACACGCGCTGTTGTCCTTACCGGGGAGCAGCGCACTTCACCACTACACCATCCGGGTCCTTCGATTTGCATGTATCTCAGCTAGTTCTATCGATCTTTTTGCCATCAGCAATCACCCGTCAACGGGATTGATCTGGAGAGCCAATATCGGCATTGAACCCAGTTAAGCTGAGGCCTCGTTATAATCACAATCTTAACTCTTTTATTTACTGCCTTTACAAAGCGTAGTATTTCCTACGACTGACTTTCTGTTAACCTCGATATTGATCAAATAATCCTTTAAATTTCAAGAAGAAATTCAAGGACTAAGAAAAACACTGCAAACTGTAGTCTAGCAGAATTCCTTTTTTTAAATATGAGATAATGAGAAGTCGGAACACTTGCAACGCAATAAGACAAATTTGGATCGGTCCTTATGTCAACTTTGCCTTGTAATAAAGTTGAATCATGGCATATGATAGCAAAACTCAGATGGAAAGAAAATCTCAGTTGAAAGAAGAACAAATAAATGTATTTCACCTTACTATGGAAAGTGAGATGAATGCGAGACGCTGCAAGGAGACATGGTTCACCGTCAACCTTAACTTTGAAAATAATCTATTGCGTCATTATTATAATTTCAACAATACTGGCAACATAATAATAGTGAAGTAATAATACTATGAGAGACATGTGGCGTAAGGGTTCGAGGTAATCTGCAATAAATACGTGTTCATTGGTTCGAACCCGCATCGATGGCTCACCAAGCCCTCCATCCATCCTGGAACTCCAATTTTTTGCATTTTTGTCCGCGAAAATAGCATCACCAATTTGGTTCGGTAAGATACATTGGTAGACTACCGCATGTTATTGTATAAACTGATAAGTGTTCAATCATGTCTACTATGCGACGTATGGAGTTGAATGCATGGCGTATCCTCAAGGCTTGATCAATGCCGAACACTTTATCCTTTATCTTTTTGATAATACTATTAAACGCGAGCATAATATGCAGTGTATGTAAAGTGTGTTTACCTACTTAAACCAGCGATTTTATAGAATATTAAAGCTTCCTGGAGAAACAGCAGGAATATTGTCGATTTTCCCTCGAGTTTTCAGAAGCTCTAAAAGTTTATTTTATAACTCTCCAAGGAATCGATCAATCTCCTAGAAGAGAATAACTCATTCTGCTCTATTAATTGTCATAAAGCATAAAAGGATAAGGCGGAAGGCATTGGTCAGCCCTTCATCCCTTCATGGGTGAACCATGCATTCGATTTCGTTGGTACGGGTTATTGAATACATAGTTTGCCTATAAAATGACTTTCAGAGGCCTACTGATGTATTAAGTTAGTTTTGCTATCCTCCAAGAAAAGTCTGGTATGTATTTGTCGTTTCCAGAGCAATGGAAGGACTTGCTGAGCTTGGGCGTGAGAACGAAGCAGGGACCAACCGTGTACTCAAGAGCACCTCTGAGCATTACGCTACACGGACCGTTATAGAACATCGCAGAGTTGATTAAATGCAGAATAAAATTTTTAGCACCGAAACAGGACACGGACGCTACTGTAGACAATCCTGTACTTATCATACCTGCATAGGAATCGCTTTATAGGTGAGAACATTCACTTCAGAACATTGCGCTAATCGCTCACCTTTACCGCCCATTTGTAATGCAGCCTAAAACAACATTAGTGATTTTTCTTCAGTGCAAATGAAGTTTAGTTGATTTCATCAGAACAAGCGACGTTGTTACGAGTTCTCACTTTTTCTTACACTATCTTATTTTTTCTTTTTTCTTTTCGTTTTGTAAATGTGGTCCAATGAACTCTTTCAATTCGGTTTGCATTATCGTCATAAACTATATAAAAGTTCCGAAGCTTTCGGCATTGATCAATCCTTGAGGGATGCGCCACGCATTCACCTTCATTATCGCTGGAGGTGATTGAATGCATATCTGGCCTTTACAATGACTGGCGGTAGCCTATCGATGTATCGAGCCAGTGCTGCTATCCTTCCAGACCAGTTTGGTACCAATTCGCCGACCCCGGAGTGATAGAAGATTTAGTGGGTCATGGGTGCGGGATCGACTTCACGTGTGTGTTGCACCGCGCTTCCAATCGCTACGCCACACGCTCCCTTATAGAATATATAGTTAATAACATTAATAACCTGTATCACCTGCAATTCCGTTGATCGTCGAGTGACTCTAGCGGGCGCCAGTAAATCGTCCATTTTTCCCTGTCGCGTGCAAGAATAGCGCAGTGGGTTCTGCTCGTTCCAAGGGCTCGTTAAGCATTATGTCTTTCTACAAGGCTCTTTGTGAAGAACTCTGATCATCGAGTCGGTGGTCTTTTTTCCGACCCACTTTATCTTCGACTATTTGGCGTGCAGAACGGCATCTTTGATTTCCGATTGTTGACGCAGTTCGGAGCTTCCGATCCCATCTTTTACTTGTGTAAAACGTGATACTCCTAGCATCGTTCCTTCGACTGCCCGTTCGATAACACTGAGTGACCTTCCATTCTGCTTACGCAGCGACCAGGTTTCTGGTGCATACGTTAGGGCAGGAAGTAACGTTGAGTCGAAAAGGTGGGCACGGACTTGTGTGTTCTTTGTTCTCCTCACTCGTTGTTCTTGAAAGCTCTCCAAGCCGCTCGTTTTCTGCTCAACTATGGAACTAAGTCACTCATCATATTGATTTCCCGACCTAGATAGATATAACTGGAGTATTCGCAGATATTCGTATCGTTGAGCGTGAATGAAGCATGCGAATCAAATCCGTTGCTCATGAACATCGCTTTTGTGAGTGTAAGATTTAGTCGAAGTCCAATATTTCCACGGGCTTTATGAAAGTCGGGCAGCATTCGTTCCGCTTGCCTAATGTTTGGTGTTATAAGGACGATGTCATCAGCAAAGCGAAGATGGTGTAACTGTCGACCATCGACTTTCACTCCCATATTATTCCATTCCAATGTTCGGATGACGTTCTCTAGGGTGGAGGTGAATAATTTTGGCGAGATGGTATCGCCTTGCCTAACTCCTCTTTTGACTTCAATGTCAATGCCGTTGTGGGATGGTGAAATCTTGGTTGTGAAATTTTTGTACAGCTCACGAAGAGCTTGAGGGCTTCCTAACTATCAAGAGTTTCCATGTCTGCTTCTATCTCATTCGAGTTAATGGCCTTCTGTAAATCGATGAAAGTGAGACAGAGCGGTCTTTTGCACTTTCGCGATACTTCAATTATGAAAAAGAAGAACACAGTATAGTATTATTATTCCTTTGAATACCTGCCTTTATATGAAATCGGTAAAATTAATTGCCAATAATATTGTGCCAATAATTGTAATTATGCCAGTTAAAAGCTGTTGCAAAAAAAAGATGGATAGAAGTAAACGAAGCCTCTAAAAAAAATAATGTCTGAATAGTAATATTCAGGCCAGTTTTCCTATATGGATGATCTTGAGCCGATTAGTCTCATCCGAAAGCCTGGAAGGGATTTTTCGAATTTCAGCCAACAGGAGAAGCCCAGCGCCTACTTCTGAAGAGTAGGAAATGCTAGCCACGAAAATAATTTGTTCGTCAAATTAGAGCCTAGTGGCTTAACGGCAGTTTCCCCCTCAATAGAAACGATTAGAATAGAAAGTTTTACGGTACTTGACTTCACAAATCAGTTCTGATGCACCGTAGGTATTTTATCGTCCACCGATCAGTTATCATGGATTCCAAGTGATAAAAGTGGATCTGAACAGACCAGAGTCGCAGTGGTGAATCCGAGAACTTCGATTTTGCCGTCACAGCAGCTCGGTTTCATTGCGTCGCCAGTCGATTCACTACCCCATGGTATCGTACCACCGGCATAGTAAGTGATATTGTGGAAAAGAATGCAGTGTAATTTCAACTCCTTTAACCGAGGAGTGATATCGACTCCATCACACTGAAAGAATGAGCTAGAAATTGAGTAAAGTTTAGAAGTATTACTCTTACAACTCTAATGCACTTGATTCTCGAGTTAGTATATTCTGATAAGACGACTTTGTGAAAGTCTTTTTTAGTGGATAAATCAAATGATTCTTCCGCTCAATCTTGTTTGGATCGCTGTAGCAATGTCATGATATTGCCTTCGAGAAAAATCCGCTCACTCATGGAAAAGACTTCCTACTTGATATTCAGAGAAAAGACCAAAGTCTTCAAGGCTTAACAGCTCAGATAGCATCCTACTTTTTACTTAAAAGTCTGTGCTTACATTCTAAAAACCTCTAGCAATGAAAACAAGGAAAAACGCTTATAGAATAGTTTTAAACAAGTGTAGGAACGCATATAACAATCTTAGAACTGAGCAGAGAAAAATAAAGAGGGAGTGGTAAAAGGAATCAGTTTTTGCACACATTTTTTCTTAAAATAAGAAAAAGATGAAGTGCGATTTCCCACACACATTTCATCGACGACACGCTTTACTTTAGGTGTTAGATGCGATTTTTCCACAAGACATCGGCAAAATCTCAGTTTCACTTTTTTGGAACAAGCTGATCAACGATCAACTTCAGAAGGCAAATCGGTAATCGATTTCCAATCGGAGTTTTTGAAGAATAACCTCCAAATGAATGTATTCGGAGAGATCCTTCCATGTTCTCTTAAATAGATCGATCGTACCCAAACCACCGTATGCGATTCGATTCTTCAGTCTGCTATTCAACATCTGAGGATTTGCGCCTAAATGAAAAGTATGGAAATCAACATCGAAATGAAAACGAATGGAAGAGTCGAGGCATTATTAACATAGAATTACAAATAAACTTCGTTTCATTATTGTCAAATGCTGCTGTAATATTACCAAAACTCCGAACCGCAGGTATCTGCGGTGGGAATCGAGCACCCAATTATCCTATCCGTAGGCCTCACCACCAGACCATATCCCCACAGCAGACAACTGTGGTCTGGAGCTTTGCAAACATCTCAGCATCATTGTGATTGTATTTCACAAAATACCCTGCCGTGAAAAATTGTACTAGGCAGTAAATAAAAAGTTGGAACTGTTGTATTAGTGTTTATTCCGTTCGTAGTATCTCGTTCTAAAAAAAATTTAGAAAAAAATCGTAAATTTATTTGTTTAGATTGTTCAGCTTACACGAGGTTGTTGTAGAACTTCTATTCGGCTAAGGCTTCGACATGTTATCCCTCAGAACTAATGATTCGAGTCGATGGTCCACAATTGAAAAGAATAGAGTTGGCTATAGTTAAGAATTTGATTAGAAAAAGTGTTTAGTCAACTAAATTACTAGGAAACCACGAAAAATATGTACGGATTCCCGCATCAAAAAGTACTCGTATTGTAGCGGAACCAATCAATGCGAAAAAACAATGATAGTAGTTGATCAGTATGAAGTATCCGATGACATAGGACTGCGGCTTGGAGTAAAGAAATTTAAGGCACTACTGGGAAGAATTCACGATCAACTGTTCAGCATTCAGAATTCAGAAAAATTCGTACCGTAGTAGAAAAGTTTTGTGTTTTCAACAGGAAGACTTCACGTAATCTGAGATTAGTGGAAAGTGTCCACATAGTTCGGTGGTTGGATTACATGGCAATCTGTACCATTGAAGAAAACCACTGCGTCAGCAATTTTGCAAGCCTGCTTATTCAAGACACCAGCAAGCCATTTTGAAGCCAAATAATAGATGTTTGTAAAAACGATCAGTTCAAGACAATCTACGCCACCGCTTAAATATTTGGACAATAATAAAGAGCCAACATAGATGTTGACGTGATGTTTCACTCTGAGAAGATGAACCTTGCTCTTTAATAACGAACTAATGCACCAAAAATTCGCTTAGAAAATCTTCGTTAGCAAACCAGAAAGAATTGCATTGGAACTGAAAGTCTTAAGTTTGAAAAAGTTGCAACATTTTGTTACTCATTGCTTATTTATTCCATGTAGTTCTTCCAGCTCTAATCAATGTAACAGAAAGATTGCTTCGACCACATTGGTAAAATTTTGTACAGAACTCAGAGCAGGACCCAGTTAAGCTCAGTGAGGATGAAATAACGCATTCAGCACCATGCCTTTTTTCATTGTTCAGATTTCTGAAGACTATTCTGCCCACGGATCCCAGTGCAATACATGGAAGAACCAAGTCTGTACGGGCGATGGTATAATGGGAAAATAAACCGGCTATGAATAGAACTGGAAGCAACTTAAAAAGATTTTGATGCCACAGCCTAATTAACATGTGACAAACATTGCAAGGATTGGAAAAAGTGACGGTATATTTTACGTTAACAATCAAGAACAATGACAGTAATAATGATACAAATAAATGCCGTCATTATTAGTAAAATTCTATTCCTTTTTATTTTATTTCATTTGATCCGCCTTCGTGTCTATTGTGCCGATCCCAGCACTTCTCAAATTCAGTTAGTTTTCTCTTCGGTTGCTGCTTGATGATTTTCATTTTATCGTGAATGTTCTAGAATGCTGGTCAGGCAATTCTCCTTGGAGTCCTGAGATGGCCGGGCTGGAGTGTTCCCAATTGGATTACAGAGAGTGATTTTTTTCCAGGCAAGTACGGTACCAATCTCTCGACTCCGGAGGGATAAGGGGCTAGGTTGGCCCGGAGCAGAATGGGACTAGCTTCATGCTCCTGATGACGGACATCACAACCACTACCACTGCGGTATCCGCCTCTCTACCCTAGTTCTATCCGTTGCCAGGTGTAATTTACACTGACAGCAACAAAAGCTGCGCACATGTGTCTTAGGCTTCTAGACAGTAAATAACAGGGCTTATGATCATGATATGAAAACATTACAGCTCTGGGGTAGGCGAAATCGCCGAAACGTCGGCTAGCGACCAACAATAACAGTAGCAACAACAACAACAACAACGACAACGACAACGAAGACCCATACCAACCTCGCATTTGCTAAACAAGATCAGTTTATAAGATCATGTAAATAAATAGTTCTTATGATCATAGGATGAAAGCGACAATAATAATAAACAGAAACAATGACAATAATAGCGTTAATAGTGATAAATAAGTTGTGTTAAGTGCAACCATAATGGTGCTGAAATGTGCATGCGGTGGGGACCGAACACGGTATTACCTACTCCGGGAATCAGATGTATCGCATTTTTTTCGGTTAGTTTTCTATCTACCAGTGCTATTAGCAATCAAGCGTCACCAGGATTGATTTGGGGAGCACAAATCGGCGTTGAACCCAGTTAAGGTGGGGTGCAGTCAAAATCACAATGTTAACTATTTATTTACTGCCTACCACAGTTCTTCACTGGAGGGTATTGCGTGAAATACAACAGGGTAATGGTGAGATGACAGAAAACTAGTTGACAGAAAGGCTGAACGAAGGACCCGCATGGCGTGGTGGTGAACGCGTTTGTCCCTGAAAAGGACAATAGCACGTTCGATCTCCACCGCAAATACCTGCGGTCCGGAGTTTTGCAAACACCTCAGCATTATTGTGATTGTATTTAAGATAACTTACCGTGAGAGACCTTGGCAGGCAGTAAATAAATAGTTAACGTAGTTACGTTAGGGTTTCAACGTTTGTTTTCCGCTTAATTTTTTTTTATGGCACGGTACAATGTGAAATACAACCATAGAGATGCTGATATATGAGCAAAATTTGGGAGTTCAACTGGTTCTCGAGCCCGCAATTGCCTTTCCATGCACCACACGTGCCATCTACCACCTCAGTCGAGGTCTTTGCTTTATGTTTGAATAAAGGTTGGTGTAGTAAATATCATGTGAGTTTCCTTTAAGAGTAACAGTGGATTGGCAGCCCATTTGAGGTTACAGATTTTACTCATATCTAAGCTTGCCTATAGTTATCTTATTTATACCTGTAATACAATAATCGCTTCATTAACAACGGCAATAACAGGAAGAATAAAATTCTATGTAGTAGAAATAGTGAGAGTTAAAAAGGCATACTTCGACTGTGGTGAAACTGAAGCGCAACATGGGCATCCGCTCCAATAGAGAAATAGTTGTTCATCACGGTGAGAGGCAAGGAGGATTGTACGACGTCATTTAGCTCATCAGCTGCTTCCACAGATGACGAATCATTCGGGTCGACAGATATTTGCCATCTGAAGAAACACGTTTAGTGAGAAATAACGTAGTAAAGAAAGATGAGGAACTTAACTAGACGGAAGTAAGCACATCGAAATCAAGGAAAATAAAATCGCCCCCATGGATTTACAGTAGAGGTCACATGACTTGTTCAACAGCTCTTCAGTGAGATCCTTGTTCAAATGGTGTAACCAACTATCTAATGAAGATGGAAAATTATAGTTATATCATTAGCCGTCTTTTACTCTAAAACACTCGATGTCAGTAACTCCCACGACCGACTTTCTATTAACCTCGGCTTTGATCAAGTAATTCTTCATATTGTTTTTTTTTCTCGTATTCCTGAGTATGTCGCGTGAAGATCATTGGAAGCCTCATAGAAAGCGGTGAGTGTGGAAAGCTGTGTTTAATGTGATTAAAATCTTGGTTTAGCAATATTTCGAAACCGACTTTCTTTGAACCTCGGTATCACTAATCAATATGTATTCTTTCTTTGATGAGCTTACACGAGGTTGATAATGATATTTATTTATTTTCGGCTAACGTTTCGACGTTATCGTCTTCCTCGGAGCCGTCTTAGTCGAGACGAACGTGTCGAGTTTCGAGAAGATGGCTCACTGAGGAAGACCTGACTCGACACGAAGGCGAAGCTGCAACGTCAAGACGAACAACAAGCATGGACCATCGACTCTGATCATCTGCTCTGAGGAAGACGAAGACGTCGAAACGTTAGCCGAAAATAAATAAATATCATCAACAACCTCGTGTAAGCTCATCAAAGAAAGAATGCATCTTGGTTTAGTGTTTTCTCTGTTTGGTTATGGAGGTGATTGGCCGAATAGATTACTGTCAACTTGACCTTTCCAGGCTCTGAGAAAGGCGAAATCGTCAGCTTGTACGTAAACAAAGAAACAAAGACACTCGATGTCGCTAATACTTTAAAGTTTTCGAAGCTCTTTATGTTTCAAGTGTTGCATAGTTTGAAGTATACCATATCTTGAACTCAACTACTCCAGAAAGAAAATCTCGAGTAAAACTGATAAGCCTCCAAATGGTTTAAAGCCTCACCGTGGCTGGCCGGTGCTCCAAACTGTCGAACTGCGATGCACAGCAAAGGATTTATCTTCCCCGCAAGGCCTCCTATGCTGGGGAGTTTAGTCGCAACGTGGCAAATTTCACTCTGATCCCCAACGGTCCGCGACCGTCTCTAGTGATGATACGAGAAACGCTCCAGCTGGGCAGACCTCGGGACTCTAGGAAAGTACAACTGGCTCACCGGCACGTTGGCGCCTTCATCTGCCAACGTCGGTCAGTGATACCAGCAGTAAGTGAAAATCAAATCTGCAGTCACACAGTGCATTATTGGAAACGAACAAAATGAGCACACGTACGACATGCCGTGGAAAACGCTTCTTACTCTGCTCCTATAACAGCAGAACAGTCTCCTCGGCCTACAAATTTTATAAGGCCGCTGGTCGCATCAAATTCCATATAATCACCCTTTAACAAAACCAGAAAGACTGACATGCACCAATTAGATGATGGGACCATGATATTTTAACCACTTCACGTAAAAAACCGCACACTACCTAAAAACGCTTTAAC